GCCTGTAATCCCAGCGATTTAGGAGGCAGGAGAATTGCAGATTCAGGCTAGGCTCAGAAACTTAGTGAGATCCTGTCTCAAAATACAAATAAAGAAATAAATAATGGCTGGGGGTATAGCTCAGTGGTAGAGCAACCCTGGGTTCAATCCTGAAAAAAAAAAAAAGGCTTTTTCTTATAACGCTTTATTTTCTTGCTTTATTATACCTTCAGGGTTCCCCCACACTACCAAATGTTCCATTAACCCCTTTCCCTGTGGGGAGCCCCTTGTCAGTCTGAGCCAGTTGCCTTCTAGCTCTCATGAAGCACTCCTTCTGTCCCTTCCCATGCATACTCTCCGGATTGAGTTCACTATTTTCTGCAGGCGTTCAGCTGCCGCTAACAGGGAAGCTGCTGGAGAAGCCTCAGTTCTGAGCCCCTGAGAGGCCTGGCTGCAGGCAGGGTTTGTTCTRGTGGCTCAGGTCCTGTGATTATCTCAACAGGGTTGCCCTTACTTTTGGGTTCATCCTTAGGACAATTTCTCTCATTAGTGCTGAGATGTCCAGGTAGCAGCTGGAGACTTCAGTTTCATTCCACCCGTCTGGGGAAAAGGGAGATGTCTCTTCTGGGCAGTGCCTTGCAGTAGGGAAACTTCTTTTCTAGAAATTGCCTACCAGACCTCTTTGTATCTYATTGGCCAGGTCATCTCACACATCCATACCTGAACCAATTCCTGTAGCTAATGGGTGTGCTGTGATTTGATTGACAGACTTGCCTGAGTCTCTGAACCAGTACTCTGTATGGGTAAAGGAATCCAGGCTTATGGGTGGATGTGCAGTGAGTTCAGGTTCTATGATAAAGCAGCAGCCAATAGTGTGGCTAAATTCTGATGCCTTCCCCCACCCCATGAGGGATTAAACCCAGAGATGCTCAACCACTGAGCCACATCCCCAGCCCTTTTTATTTTTTTGAGACAGGGTCTTACTAAGTTGCTTCAAGCTTTGCTGTATTGCTGAGGCTCGCCTTGAACTCGAGATTCTCCTGCCTCAGCCTCCCGTCCACTGGGATTACCATCATGCCTGGCTAGAAAAATATACCTTAAAATAAAAAAGCCACTATGATTCTTATAATCAGTTCTTCTATTTAGCTTTTTCCTGGACAACCTAGTCATTAAAGTGGACAAAGGTAAATGCCGTAATCTTGCATAGGTATATTCAATAGTGTAGAGATGTCAGTTTTTCCTAAATTGATCTAGAAATGCATTAGAGTTCCAATCAAGCAGATTTTCATGACTTTGACAAGCTAATTCTAAAATTTAAATGGATAAGCAAAGGACTACAAATCGTCAAGAAGATCTTTTAGGAAGAAGAACAAGTTCTAGAACCTTCTACTACTAGGTATCAATACCTATTGTACAGTTACATTAATTATTGTGTTAGCTTTTCAGCCCCGTGACTAAAATATCCGACAGGAACAACTTAGAGGAAGGAAACTTTCTTTTGGGCTCATCGTTTCAGAGGTTCAGTTCATGGTCCACTGACTTCATTGTTCTGAGCCTGAGTGAAGCAGAACATCATGGTGAGCGGGTTCCCAGCTGCCGTGAGGGTAGCTGCTGAGGAGAGCTACTCAGCTCCTGGCAGCCAAGAAGCAAAGAGAGTGAGCAAGCAAGGAACCAGGGACAGATGGAGTCCGGTGGCCTGCCCCTAGTAACCCACCTCTTCTAGCCATGTTCCACTTGCCTACAGTTACCCTCCAGTAGTCCTTCCAGACTATTAATCTAAACACGGATACTTGCCTAACATGTGAGCTCTTCAGGGGACATCAGAGGTCCAAACCATAACAGTTGCTTTCCTGGGTGTTGATGCAAAGATAAACAGACCTGCAGGACAAAATAGAGAGTCCAGGGCCGGGCATGGTGGTGCACACCTATAATCCCAGGAGCTCAGGAGGCTGAGGCAGGAGGATCACGAGTTCAAAGCCAGCCTCAGCAATGGTGAGGTGCTAAGCAACTCAGTGAGACCCTGTCTCTAAATAAAAAAATACAAAATAGGGCTGGGGATGTGGCTCAGTGGTTGAATGCTCTCAGTTCAATTCCTGGTACAAAAAAAAACAAAAAGAAAAAAAAATGCAGAGTCTAGAACCCACTCACGTCCACATGGAAACTTGATAGATGATAGCGGTGTCATTGTAAATGGTTCTGGAAAAATTGGTTATCCATATAAAAAAAGAAATCCAGATGTAGCAAATATTTAATGTGAACAGCAAAAACTAGATACTTTTTTTTTTTTTTTTTTTTT